CTCAACACACACACACAAATCAACAACCAGAAACTACATGCTCTCCTCTGAGCAATTTCACTGCATGTGCTCACCAGGGTGCAACTCAGCACCCCAGGGACAGCAAGAAAGGCCACTGCTGTTATCTGGCTGCCTTCAAACCTGGATGGAAAGCTCCATGTCTGCTACCAGTCTTACTGAAAGCAGACAGAGCTTCTTGTAAGAGAAGTTGCAGGATTTCCTTTGTATTATGGGCAAAAAGGGATTTCTGCCTGCTTCCCCTGGAATCGATTTCTAAGGCTCAGCTCCTATTTTCACATGACACCATGTGAAGATGAAACAAAGAAAGCTTCTGCAAGCCTGTGAACTCAGTGGGAAGGTGCAAGTGTATAAAGTCAGTCCCCTGCACAAACAAAAGCAGTTCATTACCTAGATCAGTATCTCCAACATGACAGCATGGTGAGTCACTTTGTTCTCGGAAGCAGCAAGATTTCAGTCCCCACAGCTGCACACACATGTACTGTTACAGCACAGCACACAAGAACACACAGCAGGCAAGCACTTGCTCACCCCAAGCAGCAGCCAGAGCCTTACTCATTGGCCTGTCCGTATTCCTGGAAGGCAAGGCAGGATATCTGCTGGTGTTTTGTGTTCCTAAGCCTGCCCAGTTCCATCTCTACATGCACTTGAACTGCAGGCTTCTGGATAACACTGCTTCTGGAAAGCAGTAGGGCAGCACAGTTTTCCTCCTGCTAACTTTCTCTCACACTGGATAACAGCCCAGACACACACAGAGGTATTCTGGTTCTTCTATCACTCTGTAACTTTTCCAGCCACGCCATGGTCTCCAGCCTCAGAAACATAATTCAGCACCTCTTCATGGTAGACAGATAAATGTGTTGCTATGTTGCATCTTTTAATGCATGCTTATGACTCGAGCATCTGTATTGTGGTCATTTGGAAAGCATGTTCACTTGACTGAACACAAAGCACAAGATCACAGAATGGTTTGGGTTGGAAGGAACCTTTAGGATCATCTAGTTCCAACCTCCTGCTATAGGCAGGGATGCCTCCCCCTAGAACAGATTGCTCACAGCCCCATCCAACCTACCCTTTAATGATTCCAGGGACGGGACATTCACAACCTCACTGGGCAGACTGTTCAGTGTCTCACCACCCTCACAGTAAGGAATTTCTTCCTGATACATAGTCTAAACCTTCCCTCTCCCAGTTTAAAGCCATTTCACCTTGGATGCAGCCACTTGTCACATGGATGTTCTGGACACTGCATTAGAGAACCATTCTCTCTGACTGACATTGGTACCCCCAAGGTTTCAGCTCAGAAGTAAAACAACTGGGACTGTACCTTGACATTTCGACCACTTTCAAATATCTGGGAGTTGTTTTGAGAAATTACTTCATTTTTTTAGACAATTATTACTGTATTAGATTTTTTTCTAGTCTCTTGACATCTCTTTAACTTCTTACAGTTAACTTTACCTATCCAGTGGTTCACAGTTTCATTTCCTGACCAATATCCAGGAAAAGTTTAAAGTGACAAACCTATGACAGTCCCATGTCATACCATAGGAATGCTCTCATAGGAGAAGACTACATGGCTCTGCAGAAGACTTTTTACAAGGAAAGATATTCAGACAAGTGCCACATCAGAAGCAGCACCACGTCTCCCATGCTGAAGTAAGGGAACAAGACACTTCTTAATTGAAAAGCAATAAAGTTTTTCCCAAAAGCTAATGCTCTGAGAACTTAAGGATATGCATTTATATCAAGCACCAAATGATCAGACCAATCTAATTAAGAAGAGGATAATTAGAAGACTAACAGGTTGCTAAATCACACTCAGAACACACAACTTGACGCTTGCTCTAGTTTATAAGAGAGATTAAAATAGTAACAAGATCAACGCTACTTTAATCCCTGGACAAGTTTCAAACATTAAATCGCACTCAGACCACAGCCACATTAAAAACCTCAATACTTAGCATGGCAGGAAGCTGCCATAATTGAAGTAGTTATGAGAGTAGAAAGCAAGAATCGTGGCTTTGCAGTGTCATCACTTATCAGAGAACGGAACCCTTCAGGCTGTCATTTTTGAATGTCAAAGCCTGGTTCCCCAGTGAGCGTACATTACTACAGAGCTTTAAAGCCCTGCACTGGATTCCAGTTGGTGCCATTCACAATTTTTAGAAATGACTGCGTAGCAGTGACATTGCACAGCGAATCTCCACCTTCTGGTAGGCAGCAAAAGCCTTCATGCAACCTTCCCTCCAACACACTGCTCCTGTGCTACCCACAGCATTTGCTAGCAATCAGCAGCCACCACCCACCTGCTGGAAATGAGTGGACAGAAAGGAAAGGGCACTCAGTCAAAAGTCTCAGAAGGCTCCATGTCACCAGGAGCCCATCTTGACTTGTGCCATGTCACACAGGTGCTCATGCTACAAGTCCTGCCACAGAGATTTAGACCTAAGCAGCCCTTCCCACATTCCCTGCCACATCCACAAGAAGCCACACTGTGGATTGACACTAGGGGTTCAGTGACTATCTTGCCACATTATTATATTCTGATTTCTCACACATCTGTTTTGAAGAGTAAGAGCTTTCTTTTCAACATTTCATTCTGATGAAAGATGAATACCACCTTTGGTGGTACCAGCTCAGTACAACCCCCAGCTGATAGCTGACCACATCTCAGCTTCAGACCAGCATTTCCATCTCCCAAAGACAATTACAGCTACACAGCTACCCTGCAGTGTTAGAAACAAGACAGAAAACTGTCATTTCCTTTAGTAAAGCTATCACAGTGCTTCATTTAAGTCAGTTTGGTAAATGTTTAAGTGTTCTCAAGCACACCTTTTAAATGCAAGAGGTGCATTAAGATCATCCAGTATGCCTGTTGCAGGCACTTAAGTTAAAAATATCTTCAAACCACATTGGCCTGGTTAGTTTAAGTCACGATATTCAGAAAGGAAGGAAACAGATTGCCTTAAAACTTGATTTTGAAAGGAAACACATTGTGAGCATTTGTAGCAAGCTAATTGTTCACAAAGGTGTTTTTTAGGCATGTGAGTAACCTCAGCCCCACTTCTTGCCCCACATTCAAAACAAGCTGAGAAAAAGCTGTTAGAAGAGTGGTATGATGCAATGGAATAATCATAGCTAAAATGCAGGAAATCTGGACCGTAGATATAGCTGGGGGCTGTCTTGTCATTTGTTCAGCCCATTGTTCTTCCATGCACAAGATGAAGATCACGATATTCTTTTCCTTGGTAAACTGCTTTGAGATCTACTGATAAGTGCTGAACAAAACCCAGGCTACAACTTACTACCAACAGGTGTAAGAGTTTATTCAGGTTAACATCACATCCACAGCTCTCTGCAAGCATCAGCTTCAAGACCACCAGACCCAGAGGTAGAGATCCCTCCAGGCAGCCAAACCCATACAGCCCTTCTCATTCAAAGCAAGAGTTTATTTCACCAAGATTCCCCACTAAGCAGTACTGCTTTTTCCAACTCCAATCATGCCCAGCCTCTGAAGAGCTGCAGAACTGAAGGAGCAAAGACATGGGAAATCCAGAAGGAGCAAAGCTCTGAAAGCCTGAGTTTTGCTCACAGGATCCAACTGCTCTTCCACCAGGTTCTACTAACAGCCATGCTGCTAGATCCTGAAGCCAGCTGGCTGCTTTGTTCTTCACCTACCAAGCACAGCCACTCACACTGCTGAGGCACATGAACACCAACTGCACCGATGGGTGAAAACAGGCACTGTGAGACCAAAGTGGTTAAAATTAAGATGCTCCTGGCTCCCTGGGAAACAGCATTTCTTAACAAACAGGATACAAGCACTAACTGAACTTTTCTCATTCCAGGCAGTGAAAGTCTGATCACTTTCACCTTCTATAACAAACCTTTTCCCATGAGGTTCAAGAGCTTACTGCATCATGATGGAATTCTGGGCAGCACTGCAAGATCAATCAATTAAAATTTAACAAAACTCAGGGGCAATTAAGCACTCAAAAACGTTAAATCAGAGAACAAGGCGCCTGACTGCATCTGGTCAACACCTTGTTTCTCCAGTAACTCAGACAGCAAATACTCAAAACTTCACATCAGGGCATAACATGCAGGGTGGGCACCTAATGTAAATTTACTGGGAAAAAAAAAAATCTGCTAAGCACACCTCTACCAAACAAAACAGACACAAGATACTACATTAGAAGTACAGATTTTTTTTCAATACTGGTAAATTCTGAAGTTATTTGGCTTCGAAAGCAAAATAAAACCTATTTCTCATTCAAATATCCTACATTAATATCTTTCAAACACCCATCCTGGTATTAGAATATTCTCTTTAGTCAAGAATGTTTAAACAGAAACACCATCAGGCAACAGAGCTGGAATAGAATATACTGTCCAGGGAACTGCTTCCGAGCTTCAGTGCCCACAGTACACACTTGCAGGTGGCAGCTGATAAGCATTGACTTGTCTCTAGCTACAGGGCCTGTTTAATTTAGGTTACTGGAGAGCAATAAGGACAAAACAAGTCCTTCTGAGCTACATCTCTTTTAGACCACTGCTGCACTCCTTCAGTCTACAGCTGGATACAACTGCAGTAGTGTGAGCAATACAAGGAGCTCCTCAATACCACATGAAGTGCTTGAGAGGACAGAACTGAGATCCATGCTTCCGAAAGTCTGATCAATCACTTCCATGCTGTCAGGCAGTCCAGCCAACCATTTTATCAGCAGAGTTCAACTTGCAGTGTACACTAAAAGATAACAACTCTTTCCATCCTATTACTTCTATAAATGATGTAAAGATGGACAAAAAGCAATATTCAATTGCTGAATAGAACTTAATTTAATATGCTCAGGATGCTTTTTTGTCTTCTTAACTCCCCAAAATATTCACATGTGCTATGGTAGCAAGCAGTCAACATGAAGGATTTAGCATTACCAACTGGAGCATAGATCAAATATCAAGTTCCAATAAAAATCAAAAAGTTCTTAGCACCTGTACCTGCAGGAGACATTGATTCTGGTATCTTCTACTGTTTAGTTAAGACTGCAGAGCCTTTGGTCTTGGTGGTTGGAAATCTGGTTAGGGAAGAAAAACCGTTGTTGGAATGCTTTGCTTTTAGGTTTTGTTTATGGACTTAATGATATTGCAAAAACCTAAAATTCAAAATTCAAGTTAGAAAAATCTTAGAAGAGACACAAGGAAGCAAGGCAAGCTACAACGAGAGGCTACTGACTCCATTCAGAGCACTGAAGGGGCATGGCTCTTTAGGCATCTTGCTTCTCTCCGGGCATCCCATCTCAGTATAAGTCATGTGTCCAACAAGGAGTGAAGCACTCACACGCTTCGAAGGATCTAAAACCAGTTTTCAGGGCCTACTTCACAGCATCCACATGTTCCTGCTTGATGTATTTGGCTGCCTTTAGATGAATTTTGGCTGCTCATTTTTGTTAGGTTTTTTTTTTTTCCTTCCCATGTTATCCTCCCTACTGTTACCAGTAATGTTTTCTGACCTACAAAAATCCTAAGATGGATTTTTAACATTACTAGGATTCATCCTCTGCAAAACCAAAATAAACTCAGAAACCAAGAGGGGATGTGGGTCACCAATCAATGCTGTTCTCCAGGCTTATCTGAACCTCACATAGATGTGAGCTGCATAGTGATGAATCAGTTCTGCAAGTTCCAGAAAAGCATTTTTCCCCCTGCTTCAAATCCAAGGTACAAATACACCTCTTCCAGACTCCTACAAGAAGTGTTATCAATGCAAGTTTTCACTATTCACACAAAGATAAAGAGACGCAGTGACACAAACATAGTGAGTGAGCTTTGAGGCCAAACACTTGCAAGCAGCGTCCTACTACTGATCAGATCAGATTTGACAGGCATGGAAGTGATGGAACAATTTGGGTAGCCTTGAGAAGGTACAAGAAAAAGAACTTTCAATACTGTTGCTTACCACGTGGCTCACTGCAATCCTCCAGCTGTTACTCATGGCAGGGCTTCAGTACAAGTGTGTTGTGTCAGTACAAATAACCCCTTTCTTTTTTTTCTTTAAAGGATAGGAACTTTCTCAAGACAGTATGACTTCAGGTTACAGAGGAGAAAAAAAATCATGACGTAACAGCCATAGTGACTCACAGCATACTACACCAAATGATGTAAAGGAAAAATAAAGGGTTAAAGAAACACTGACTTGCTGAAGCACCCAAGTGCATAACTGCTGGCTCACCAAGAACATACAGAGGCAATGCAAATAAGCCACAAGTTTTACAGCAAAACCAACGAGCTGAACTAAGGCTACTTGTTATTCACAGGCTTCACCTAACTGTTCATCTTTCTAGGACAGCTGCTATCTCGAGGTAGGCTGTCCCATTTACAGTCAATAGATCTGCAAACACTTTCATGCCGTGCATCCTTAAATGCTAACGTGCAGATCTCAAACCATGATCCCAGCACTTCTGTGTATCCTGCAGAATTAAGAGGACCTAAAAGACTTACAAACATACAAAGTGTGCACAGACTGGTATCATCATGGCATGGGATTTCTTTTGTTTCCATGCCTGCTGTAAGAATACTTTAGTATATAAGCTTCCCCCCTTTTTATACTTGTATACTTGTATAATTAATTTCCAGTGTATTTCACTGTCTTTTAGTCCTACTATTCAACACCTTCTCTGCATTCACCTTTCCTTATTCTTATTTTCTTTGGTATTTTTCTGTTCTGACACTCTAAGCCCCAAAATAAGAGAACCCGCTTCAAGAGAACCCGAAACAAAACAAAGAAGGGAAAGAGAGAAGGCTGAATTCATCCTCCTTGTGTGTTTAAACACACCTTTCCATTTCTCAACTGTTTATTCCCCACGTTACAGGAGATTTTTAATGTGCATTCCTAAAGGAATCAAAGGACAATACTAAAACCTCTTACATTATTTGAGGTTCACAATAAAAGGTGAAAGACAAATTCCTAAGTTCTTGAGCAATATCACAAGCCAAAGTTGGATATACAGGAATAAAAAAAATCGTATGTCTTGTACAAAGGAAAAATATCCTTAAGAAAATGAGAAATTGCTGTAGTGAATCAGCTCACTGGGACAATCAGCATTTTATCCTCTTCTTTCCCCCAGCAGGAATTAGGGCTGGCTGTTTTAGATGACGACAAACAAAAGTTCTTCCCATTAACAGCAATGTAACAAAACACCTGAGTGAAGCCCATTCACAGCTCAAGCTACTTAGAAGCTGAGGCTTGTCTTAAACCAGATGAATCCATCTCTTCCCCCAGCACTAATTACCATGTCTTTACACGTTATCTTTTGCTCTGTGTTACCCAAAGGAACACGTGATGCTTCTCAAGGCCTTGACATCATTTCACAGAGCCTGGATAGATCTGCCACCGTGGCTGAAGAGTTTAGTTGTGTTTTAATAGGAAGCTCAGTCATTTCTCCAGATTTCTCAACACAATGCTCTACCCCTTTTTCTTTACTAAGGGATATCACAGTTGTCTTTGGATAGACAACAACACTGAGGTTGAGTGGACTCTTCCACAGCTTCAAGCAGGATGCTGTAACACCAGTTCTCCCACAACCACCATGTAGTTCAGATGGAAACCCTTTGCCAGTATGGCTGTCGTAGGTCAAGGTACACTTCTTTCTGCATTGAGAAAGAAAATCCAGAACTGAGCACTGCAGCCCTACCTGACTCTGAACGGAGCCCACTTGCCAGATATTCAAGAAGTATATGCAGGCAAGATTTATATCAGTATCATTAGTTAAATACATTCTAAGTAATAAATACATCCTCACTATGGATGCCCGATAACTCCTGTCCATGCACAGAATGTCACTGGCAGCATGAAGCCAAACCCCACACTATACTGGCTGCCATGCTCTCCCCTCTGATTAGGAACCCAATCAGCCCCAACACCTACACAGCTTGCAACAACTCTCCATCACTAGCTAACAAAACTTAATACATCTCAGAAGTAAACATTCAATTTATAGATAGCAGAACAACAACAAAAACAAAACAGAATTGCCTTTAATTACACACATAGTATATCCTATGAGGCTGAAGTACCTGAACAAACACCAAGAATTATTATAATAGCCAAACTCTACATTGGAGCTGCCAGAGATTAAAGGATTTCACAATGTAATCAGAGCAATGTTTTTAAAAATACATTTTACTCTAACAAAACCAGAGCACAGTACCTCAGAAAGCCATGCATGGGTCCATGTTAGATGAGGTCCTGCCCCCAGGCAAAAGGCACTGTCCCCATGCAAGAACTCAGGGCTTCAATGTGAGGATTCTCCATTCTGGCACTTTCAAACAGAATGAAGTCTGCCCACATATTTCAGGCAGACAGCACTAACTGCTCCCCAGGCTCCTGATGATTCTCCTGCTGATGCAGAAGAAAATACCTTGGGACTCACAGTGACAGGATCACTGCCTCCAGTGAATTAGGAGCAAGCCCTTAGTGCAAAGTCATCTGTTTTGCAAGATATGACATCCAAGAAGGAATGTAAAACCCCTATGTGATGACTTCATGTGCCCATCTAGCATCAAACAGACAGAGACAGGCATGAACTTGTACAGTCAGCCCTAGTCTGGTCAGTCACTGCTGTTGGTATTACAAGTCACAATTTCAACCTGAAAAGAAAAAAAACCTCCACAGAAATGAGTTTGGTAATGAATACAGCATGCTCTAATCACATTTGTGCATATTCTCTTACAGCATACAGTAACACTGATTTACAAGTCCAATGTAAAACCTATGGAATTCAACTGACAGACTCCCATTGACACAAAAGATTCAGAGCTCTACACTTAAAATAAACACCAAAAAGAAGCAGTAGATTAACTCACACTGACAAGCAAAAAAAAAATTCCACCAATCCTGAAGCCTCAGCTTACATATCAGGTTGCTCTCAAGAGCAAGCAATGCTGTATCAGGCTTCAAATGGCAGCTGTACCAGCGTGGGTGCCATTGGGAAAGCTGAAGTCCCAAGTGCCATGCTGTGCACTGCCATTCTGGATAGGAAAATCACTTCCATTTCAACTGCAAGAAGAGAACACGAGCAAAAGTGACATCACTTCACTGTTTGGCCTGCACAATGAGAGCTGTTTCCATGGAAAGGCTATCATTTGTTTCAGTAATGTTACTGCAAGGTTTCTCTCTCTGAAGAGATACTGTAATTTTCTCTTTTTACTTAGAGAAGCAAAATAAAGATATTTTCTTACTGCGCTCCCCTCCCAAGAAGCACATTTACAGCAGGAATGGCTCAAGATTGAAGCTGAGCTTAACTTACAAATAGTCTTGTTCAATTGAGGTGCTGCTGCATTTGCTCCACAAGAGCCCTCACACCTCCAGCAGCACGCAGTGTTAGTCAGCAGTTTTACTGCTCCTCTGTAATAACCTCAGCAGGAAGCAAAAAGCACACACGAAAGCCTTCTGATATTTTCTCTGCACACAGAAGTCAAAGCCTGGGGTAAAACAAAGGAATTCTTAAAACAGAGAGTTTACAATAAATTGCTACAACACCACTTAGATTGCAAATGCTAAAATGACATGAATTTCTATAGAGACACTTCCACCCCAGGTATTTGTGTCAGTTAAAGACTATTAAGGGTTATGGTACAATCTAATTTCATGTATTTAACACCACTGGCATTTTCTCTTCTAAACTCAGTGTCTGTTCCAATTATCTGTGCTCATTAACCAGAGCATCTGAGAGTCATCACAGTTTTATCATCACGTTCATTTGGTTGAAGCCTTGAAAAACAAGATATGTAAGTTTGGCTTGATGTTTGTTAATAGAAAACACAGCTTTCAGACCTCATCTTCTGTCACTCCAAGAAACGAGGATGCGCTTTTCAGAAATGCATGTAGAATACTGGGTAAGTTATTATTACATACATACACACACACACACTTACAGAAAGCTTCTCAAGTGTTTTCAGGTTTTGTTGATAAGTCACACAAGAAAAAAAAAAAAAATGACAACATCAAACTCCTGAGAATAGAAAGTGAGAAAAATTATGAAAGTAAACATTATCACCTCGTTCTCTGCTCCTTCAGCTGTTCCTAAGGACCAAAGATGCTCCTGACCTGCAGCAGCTTCCTGTGTGCCACACAACAGCTTAAAACATGCATGAGGCCAAAATGGTTAATGCAGTGCTGTAAAGCACTGTGCAATAACTAAAACTGATTTATAAGTCTGATATGCATCACGTTTCTGATACCACTGGAATTGATTTAACTGTAGCTGACCAACTCCATTCCCCATGCGTTCACATGCAGGGAAAGTTCTGGTTTAAATAACTGTACCTGACTGAACACATTGCTTCCCTGTGGTCACCTAGGCACTAACAAGACCACAACTCAGGGTGAGCAGGCACTGTTAGCGACGTACAGAAGCTCCTGATCCAGCAGAAATAGCCAGGCTGTTTTTATGCATGCTTTTCAGAGAGGAACAGCGATTTCAGATAGTCAACACAGTACTTTGCAGAACAAGATCCAATGTGCAGAGGAATACTTTCTCCTCTCAAACATGGTTTGGAGTCAAGACCAACAGAGACAGGTCAGTCCTCTACTGAGACACCTAAATTCTGATTATTTATCATTTTATACGTTCATCAATAAGTCAGAAGATGTTAACATTCATCATTTAGGATCACAAGCACTTCATCCTCTCTTGCTGCCAGTAGGCGAGTCCCATAATAAGATCAGAAGTGACCTGCAAAATAATTGAACAGATGTGACATCACAGCCCCCACGTTTTAATGAATCAGCTCTGACATAGTATATATACTACATGATTTGGAGGTAAGAACCCAAAGCAGCATCCTTTTACACTGCTCATCAGAATGTCCAAGCCATGTTTTACACACTCTCACCAACCCTTACAGCAGATGCAAAATACAGGGATGTACACAAAGTGTGCAAATCATGATTTACTTGTGACTACTTTTGCCATGACAACAAGCAGTGCTGTAACAATGATAACAGCCAGTGCTTTTAGCACTTCCATATTACTTGCCCTTACCCACATTAACGCAGCTGACACAGCCAAAACCCACAACTCAGCCCAGATGTGAAGACCAAGTACCTCCTTGAAGTTTAAGGCAAGTCCCTCACAGCAAAGCTGTCACACATAACCACTGACTGAAGCAAGACCAAGGCCAAACCAATGTTAGAAGTAAGCCTCCCAGCTGACATCCACTCCATGCCAGCATCAAGTTACATAAACATGAAAGAGGAGACATTTGACAACTTACTGGTGAGCCAAGTCCTCTGCAAAACTGATTATATGAAGTGCAGGACAGGCAAAACTCTGATTAAAGTCAATAAACAGACTCCTAGATGGACAGCTGCCACCTCCAGCTCCTCATGGCTTGAAGCCAAGCTACAGACGATGGCAATACACTACATAGAGGACACCAGTCATCACAGCTTTAACACAACAACCGCCTTCCTGTTAGTAATAATGCTGAGCTCTCAGCATGACCATTTGGACAAAACAACATCGAAAAGCCCACCATGCTGAGAGCAGAAAACCATATATTTGTCTGTGAATGAGTTTCAAAAATAAACACTTAAAACCTTACATCATTTTTCTGCTTTACCAGTGACTAAACTGATGAACACCAGTAAGAAAAGGGCAGCTTTGGGGTTCCATAGTTCACTCTACTCACAGCTGAGTCAATGCACTCATTTTGAACAGGAAGAAGTGAATGATGAAAGAAACACTGTATTTAAAAGGACGTTTTATAAAATCAACTTTCCTAACGTATGCATTGCACATCTTCACAAGATTGTCAAGCATTCTTCTTGCTAATCACTTTAAAATGCTTCAAAAATTAATGACAAGTCTCTCACACTTCCCACTCTGGGGTTTGTCAGCCCTGTCAAGTATATCCATCTCACCATAAGTAATCTGGATTTGTCCCTGCAGAGCAGGTTAACTTACAGAATGCCTTCAGCAGAGATAACCATCACAGATAAATGGACAGGTGTGAGAGAGAAGCATGGTAAGTGATGAGGACAGCACCCAGCACAGAGCTCACTCCATCTCAAGCAGATCCAACAAGCACTCACTTCCACCAGTGCCAAGACAACTCCTCCCAGCTGCTTATAAGACAGAAATATGTGAACTCCACCCAAGACAATTTATTAAGGCAAAATCCTCACTTCAGAACTTGATTTCAGATGCATAGAGGTCCAAGAAATGGGCTTTCAAGTATACAAGATGCTGATTTCCTTTATGAAAACATCTTTAAACACAAAGAAAATAGAGCAGGCTACAGAAATTGCACCACGTCTACAGAAAGTTACTCCAGCAGCACCAGCAGGATGTTTCAATTTTGTTGTAATCATTTGCTCTATTTCATTCATTTTAATACTGTCACAACTGCTTGTCTTTCCAAATATTGACATTGTGCCTATCTTTAGGCAATTGCAATCAGGGAGAATACACAGCTCTTAGAAGCTGTCCTGCTTGTTGGCCATCTTCATCAAGCACAGCAATAACAACACCCACAAAAAAACCCTGAGATCATCCCTGATTTTTTTTTTTAACTTATTATAATTAAACACATGCAAAGTCAAGGCTTTGAAAAGTTTTAGAAGGCACCGCACATTCAAGTATATTGAGCCTCACCCTATCATTTGTGTACTTTTCTAAGTCCATAAAGACAGATATAAGAAGCCAATAAACCAATAAACATTAGATTTTATAATCCTTAAGGCTCCACACAGGCTAAGTTAGGAAGGTGGAATTAAAACTGGAGACCTTCACCTCCACTGCAACGACTCACAAAATAGGCAGGACAAGAAACACAGACAACTGGTCCCTAAGGATGTAAATAAGCCTATTTAGGACAGTCTCTCCTTCCACAGAGCTGGATTAAGAGCAAGAACTATTGCTTTATACCCTACAAGCAAACACTCAAGATTCACATCCCTGCTTTTTTAAACCACCCAACACCTACTGGACAGATAAAGAGTTATAATCTAATTAATCTGCTTGCTACCAGAATAATGTTGACACCAGACCTCTTGCCTTCCATTTCACATACGAAAAATACTCCTTTTCCATAACCAGCCAAAACAGAACTGAAACCACCTTGCTGATTTTCACAGTGACTTTTCACTAAGTTTATTGACCCACCATTCATTCCATTGTATATACTTCTGTGGTGAGGGGACAGGTCATCTGTTACTTGTCTCCTGAGGGTACCTTCTCTGCTGCCTGCACTGAGATGCTTGAGATGCTCTGGGCTCCCTCCATAGTGTTTTTTGAGGTGCTCAGGGCTCGTGCCCCTCACTTTGTGGAGATGTTCTGTACTTCCACTGGGCGTGTGCTTTTGAAGATGATCTGGGCTGCCACCGCTGTGCTTTTGATGCTCAGGGCTACTGCCAGGCCTCTGCTTTTGAAAGTGTTCAGGGCTACCACTCAAAACATGCTTTGGGAGAGTTTCTGGACTGCTACTGCTGTGCTTTTGTTGTTCAGGTGCTTTGACAATGGTTTTCTGATGTTCTGGACTCGGTCCTTTCAGGTGATGATCAGGACTGCCCGAACTCCTGGGCTTCTGGAGATGCTCAGGGCTGATACTCCTGTGCTTCTGATGCTCGGGGCTTCCTTCACCCCGAGCTTTTTGAAGATGTTCTGGGCTCGTACTCGGATGATGTTTATGATGATCTGGACTGTCTGTGCTTCCCGTGCTAGAAGTACTGCTCCCATCACCGACATCTCTTATGTACGTGCTGGTTGCAGTTAATTGGCACAGGCTGATTTGGCTGTCAATAGAGCTCCGGCTGCCCGCTCCACCGCCCTTCTCCTCATCCAACAACACGCACAGTTCCTTCAGCTCCAGGTTTTCCTTAACCACTTCTTCTTGTCTCACTTCCAATTCTTTCAGCTTCTGCAGGTACAAGGCAACCTCTTTGTGCATAATACTGGCACTGTATCTGCCCAGTCTCTGCCACTCACGGGACACCCTCTTGCCTTTCTGCCTGTCGTCATCCAGAAAGCAGCAGAGGTCTCTCAGCTCCTGGTTATCTTCTTGCAGCTTCTGATTGATATCCTTTAAAAGAAAGATAATCATGACTGAGAGGTGTCTAAAAGAACCAGTGTTACATCACCACCACGATACGAGCCAGCAAACAGCACTGCCATAAACCCATCATTTAAGCACTCGAGCAAGGCAGAAATAATTGCATGTGTGGATCTGCCATACAACAACGTGCTCCAAACAAACAGAGTCACTTGTTGGGCAGCAGCTATAACCTTTCAAAGGTTCAAAAGCTCAATTCTGATCAGGCAAAGAAAGCTTCGGGTGTTTAATTTATGCTCATCCTAAATATCAGAATAGCTCTGTTCCCAAACAAAGCAAAGATCATCCACTTTCTCATCAGAATCTCACTCCCTTGACAAATATTCACGTGCATGGCACTGCTAAATATAACTGAAGTATATCAGAAATTGTCTTTCCACTTAATTATTAACGCTTATGCTCTCTACTCTTGAGAACATAATCACATATGAAAGTGAGCACATGTTAGAGATTTCAGATATTTGAGTTTTGATTTCATTCCAGATTTGCGTAAGGGAACCTTATTAGTCACCACCTTACCAGCACAACCTCAACCACTCTGAAATGAACCCACAGTGTTGGGTGCCTTAACAGATTCTGCATTCCAATCCAAGTACATGACTCCACATCCTTCCTTAGGTGAGGAAGCACCCGAAGCAAATGCACCGAAGCAGAAGTGTTCAAGCTACTACTAAAGCAGAACAACATGCCAAAGAAAATACTGTCATTATCTCATGTTTCTAGTGGCCATATCTTACTTTCTCTCAACTCAATATTCATTCCTTCTTCTGTGGGACATTAGAAGTGGAGATGAGTCACAACCATTAGAAGGCAAGCCTTACAGAAAGGCCATTTTAGCACAGTTTCTGAAGAGCGTGAAGCTTTTGCAGCCCCACTAGACATGTGCATTTGTCTGATATTCCTCTCAAAGCAAACTCAAGGCAGCCTCAAGAAACCTGTGCTGGAGAGAAATACTTTAAGTGATGCCACAGCTCAGGCAGAAGCAGGAGGACCCACATAACAAGTGCAGGCATCGCTGCTGCTCAGGGCCCTACTTTTTCTCATGGACAGAGAGGCTCAGGCACCACAGCAGGGTGTCAGACCTCGTTCTCCCAAATTCCCTGTGGAAATTCCAGCTAAGACATCTGAACAAATGGTGGAAGTCACACGTCACTTAGGGAGTTAAGCACTGCAAGCGGAACTTGTCACTCCTTCCTGCACATCTTGGCCTGGCTTGTTCCTCATCTGGCAGATAATCCCACGTGATGGCACAACACATAGCTGCATCACAAAGGTCACATCTGCTTGCACTGATGCACTGCCATTGAGAGGTCTCCCACCCAGGACATCACATATCCTCAGAAGGGACAAACTCACACTCTGTGAACGGGAAGGCAGAGGAGCAGCCTCCCCCTGCACACTACTTAGCTGTGTCACACAACTACCAAAGATGCTTTTTCAACAATTCACTCGCCTGGAGCTATTCTGCAAATCGGGAACCCTCTTCCCGTATTCCCTCATGTCATAACGCAAAGCCCACGCTGCGTTTGGGTGCCTCCTTCCCTTTAACTTCAAAAGGAATTTCTTAAGACAGTTTCATTTCTCGAAGCAATAAGACAGAAGCTGCCTTTTAGCCATCTCTAAGCTAACACCCCCGCTCTATAACAGACCGCCGCACGTTGCACCGGGGCAATCACCTGTAAGCAACCGCACCGCCTCCCCAGCCTTCAGAAGCTGAGAAGGAAGCGCCAGGATCTTACGGCTCTCACCGGCCGAGAGTTCAACGAAGGAGGGACGCAGCGTCGCAGCCGGCAGCGGCACAGCGCTGGGAGCGGAACGGAACCGCGATACGGCTGCGGGATGCTGCCCAGCAGCTCGTATTAAGTCACCTTACACGGCGGCAGCGTAAAGCGGGCACGGCCTCCTGCACGCCTATCGCCGCGCTTTCCCGATGGGG